TTTATAAGAAATTTAGGAATATTTTTGCATGGATCATTGTAAACAGAAGATTTATTTCTAATGTCTATAACATAGTGTGTTTACTAATAAGTACTTTAAATTGCTTCAAGAGCACTTAACCTACCTTTGTGTGTATTCGTGTGTGTGTGTGTGTGTGTGTGTGGCAGCCATTTACCCCAGGCACAGTGTCCATTTCTTCAACTCTTTGTTGGTAATTCCATCTGTGTAGTGGGCGGTTTGTAATATCGATATGTTCTCCAAGGCCTGAACTGATCCAGTAACAGAGAAGCTGGTTTCCCCAGTTTAGTGTAATAAGTTAGGAGAAAATATGATTTTAGTATATGTTTTTTAAAAGTCGCAGAGTGCACATACACAGATACACACATGCGACTACTTGTAAGGGTTGGAGTCATTTGAATTCAGGAGGAAGTTATGAGAAATTATATAGGCTGTTTCTTCCAGCTTGCCTGAGACTTGGCACACACAGGGTGAATGTTTTCACGAGCACTGCATTAAATGGTGTTTTCAAGAGAAAGAAAAGAGTGGGTTGCGTTTTCTCCCCATTTATATCAGCTTTATAAACACTTTCCCCCCTGTAATTTCTAAAAACAATCTTGTTTCCCTTTTGTGAAGTTGAGTTGGGAGACTTCATCAAATACTTTTGCATTATGGAATACATCTGTGTGGAAATCTTTTCAATTTTGAAACTATCGGGGCATCAGCTATCAAATGTGAAAGGTAGATCTTGTCTAGCAGGTAAGAATCTGGATATAATGAATAGTAACAAAATTATCATATGTTGTAATTTTAGCAGCATTTAGTTCCAGTAAAATTAAGGAATACAGCTTCTGTTATAAAGTTGCATAATTTGATATCCTAAGCACAATAGTAGAACATTCAGAGAAATTTTGCATTTTTTATATGTGACATTCCTAATTTGAGAGTCTTTCAGCTAAATTACAGTTATTTTAGGAGCTGAGACAGGCAAATAAAGGAACTAATTCCTATAAACATAGATATCATCATTGACATTTTTAAAAAATTTTGTTCTACAGCCTTCCCCTAAGGTTTAGAAGGTATGTTTCTCCGCTTAGGGAAACGCTGTTTGGATCTGGGTCAGGTGACTGAACGTTTCACGATGAGTGATGGTCCCATCAGCTTGCTGCCTCTGAGAACTGAGGCCAGCATCAGGGCCAGGGCCATTCGTGGTGACAAGCACAGAAGCGCTTCCAGAATCTTTTGTCTCTTGTGTTTGATCTTTTCTCAACATTCTTGTTGGTTTAGTTATTAGGCCTACCAGTTGTATTATATGACTCTGTTTCTTGAGTGCTATGCAAATGTAGTATTTACAGGAGCTGAGGGTGGTCCTGGGCCATGGGCTGGACACCTGGTTGGTACTTGGTACTCGCCCTGCCCTTCCCAAGCTGGGCATGCAGTGCCTCACTCCATCTGCTGGCATCGGCACTTCAAACAAGAGGAAATAGATTCTTGGGGCTTGGGATATACTAATCTCTGGTAGTGCTGTCCTGCCAGCAGGCGGTGAAAGGATGGCAGGAACCAGACACATCAGTATTGGGGCCTACTTTTTAAGAAGGAAACTCAGACTTCTTCACCTGTCCTTTGTAAACATTTGGAAAGAGTATTACTCCAACCAGTTGGGCCACCTTCTCCCTATCTGGCAGCTAACAGCTGGACGCCCCAGTTCTTGCCAGCCTGGGCATTGCCCAGATGGGACAGGACGCCTGTCTGACATCCTCTGGCCGTGCAAGGGCAGGCTTAAGGGTGTAGGCCTTGAGGTGGGGTACAGCTTCTGGTTCTTCTCTTGGTGCTTTCTAAGGACGGGTGTGTCTCTAGAGAGGAGTGGTTGGCATAGGGGAAGGGTGGCCCACGTGACTCTCCTCTCTAGTACGTTTCACATGTTGGTGTTTTTTTGTCCTGAGCTGTTTGTTGCTCAACCTGAGCTTTCTGAAAGGAGCCTGCAGGGGACACGCTGCAGAGGAGGGTCTGATCTTTTCAGGTAGAAAGTTGCAGAGTTGATCTTACATGTTTCAGAGGATTTGCCTCTTTCCCCACCCTATTCACTTGAACAGAAAACCTCTGGGGTAATCTTATTTGAATCCCCAGGACCAATGTCAAGTCCCTTGGGACAGGGAGACCAAGGAGAGGCTGGCATCTCTGTGCAGGGAGCCTGCAGTGAGCTTCAGGGGATGCTGTGCTCCCAGGATTGGTGTGTTGGAGATGACAAGTGTCTTATCTTGGTCTCCTGAGCCATACTGGAGTCTCCTGTAGGTGCTCGTGGAGACCAGTGGTCAGTAGAATAATTGGGCTGGACCTGAGGCCAGCTCTCATGTGTTCCTGGTGGGGTTACTGTGATGGCCACTCAAGAGAGACCCCAGGGAGCCACTGTTACTGACTAGGAAATGGTTCCTTTTTCTTTTTTTTTTTTTTAATGATTTTTGAATACTGTTTTTTATTTTTTTAGACCATTCTCATAGTACTTTTTAAAAACTTAAGCCAGCACTGTCTTCCAGTGTTAAAGGCACCCCTCACCTCTGCACTGAACTTCAGGTGTCAATCAATACAAAGGAACATCCATCCTGAGCCAATTACATTATGTGTGAATTCATACTATTTTAATTTTTTATGCAATCTGATGAGTAGATAAGCTCAGACTTAAAATGCTTAAAAGCACATTTATTTTAACAAGAATTGTTATGTATTAATACTGCAATTTTCAATAAAGATTGACTTGTGTTGCAAAAAAAAAAAAGATTATGTGAAAAATCCCAACTGTAATCAGCAGTCACTTTTACTTTATAAACTAAGATTACTCTAGCTAGTGCACTGGATATATTCACTATCTTAATTGTGCTGATGGTTTCATGGGTGTGTACATATGTAAAACTTATAAAATTGTATAATTTGTGTTTACTGTATGTCAATTATGCCTCAAGAGAGCTGTTTTTAAAAAGAGATAAACTCAGGGCAAGAGTGTAAATGAAACAATTTTTTTTTTCCTAATCATTTTTCAGGATCAGCTTCTCTGGTTGGGCCTAAGGTTACACTACCAACTAGGCACTTACAAAAACTTTTATTTGTACATTTCTCTTAACTGACTGTTCAAAAACACAAACAAACCATTTAAATTCAAGATCTGTAAGGCCAGGACCATCTCATTACTATGGGGTAAGTATTCACGAGAGCTGTAAATGTGTTTTGACTCTTAAGGAAATGTATTTTTAAGTATTTTAAATGTATTTTAAGTTTCTTTCCAATGAGAATTTAGTGACTGGGTTTTTCTTTTCTACATAGAATTTAAGTCCCCCCAATTACACAAAGCTCCATTTTGGCAGAGACTTTTCACCAACTCCCCAGGTGATTCTAATGTGCATCTAGATGCCTAGCATCTAGAACACTGTTAAGCACACAACAGGCACTCAGTAAATACCTGTCAAAGAATGAATAAAATCCCACTTAAACTGTCACCACCTTTTCCTGGGACCATTTTGAACTGAGGCAGGTGGCAGCTCTATTCCTCCTGTTAACATGACAAGTCTATCTCCAGAGGCAGACACTGTCTTCCTCAAATTTTATTATTATTCACCTTCTTATATTTGTAAAAACAAGGTGGTGTGGCTTAGGAATCTCACTTCCAGGAAAAGACCTAAAATGGTGTGTTAAAGATTATGCATAGGATCCACAAACTAGAAGCAATCAGATGACAGCGGTTAAGGAAATCATCCCTAACTGAAGAAACAACCCATAGATTAAAAAGTATCATTATGACAAGTCTGCAGTAACATGGAAAACATGTAGTGTGAATCAGGAATTGAAAAGTACCATCACTGACTATGCTTACAAATTAAAAACGTATACACAATTATCTGCTAGAATTTATACTCCAGGAAGGCAGAATGTTTAGGTTTGTTCTGTTCACTAGACAGTGCCTGGTACGGAAGGTGTTTATTAACACTTGTTGAATGAATGAGTGAAACTAAATATAAAACATACCTATGATAACATACCTGAAGGGAATGAACACACGTGGAAAATTATGTTCAGGTGGTGCAACTGTGGGTGTTTCCTCCACTTTCCCTCTATTCTCTATTTTCCAATTCTCCCTAAAGTTGTGATAAAACTTTCTCAGTTCAAAGGATGGTCAGAGAAATCCCTCACCAGGCTCAGGCTGCTTCCTCCCGTCCTACAACTAAGGAAGCATCGGAATGGGAGTAGGTATGTGACCTAGCTTCAGTTCTAAGAGGGCTATTTTGCAGCGTGTGTGGCTCCAGCCAAGGGTCCCTAGGGTAGCGGATATTTCGGCTTTCCCTCCTGCAGCGAGAAGGCAGCGCTGCCCCCCATTGGAGCCTGCAGGAGAGAGGCTGCTCTTTCCCCTAAGCTGCCCCTAGCGCCTCGCCTCGCCCCACCCCGCCCCCAGCTCACTCCTAGACACCCACGGGGGTCGCTCATTACCCCTCCCGCCCCTGGGGGGGTGTCCTTCACAAGGGGGAGTTCACTCTCTCCTTGAGGGCTCTATCTCCCCTGAGCGTCACCGGTCCTCCCTGGTCCTCCTCATGGAGTCATTCGTTCCTGAAGGAGAGGTCATCCCATCCCCGTTGAGCCCACCCCCCTTGAGGGCCGGTCGCTCGTTCCACCAGTCCCTGTCGGGGGGAGGGTCATTATTCCCCCATCCCTCTCCAGAGGGGGTCATTCGTTCCCAACGAGGTCACCCCCTCCCCCAGACCCCATTCCCCGCGAGAGGGTCGCTCTCCCCCGGCCCTCCTGAGGCGGCGCGGCACTCGTACCCGAGAGGGAGGTCACGCCTTTCGCCCGACCCAGTCCCCCGAGGGTCAGCGCCGCCTCCTTCCGGGCCCTCCCCCACGAACGGCCACGCCGGGCGGGGCTCCAGTGCGGGGAAGCGGCGGCGGGTCCGGCTACCGGGTCCAGAGCGCGGAGCCGGGCGGCGCGGCGGCGGCGGCGGCGGCGGCGGCGGCGGCGGCGGCGCGCTAGCCATGGCGGGCTGCTGCGCGGTGCTGGCGGCCTTCCTGTTCGAGTACGACACGCCGCGCATCGTGCTCATCCGCAGCCGTAAAGTGGGGCTCATGAACCGGGCGGTGCAGCTGCTCATCCTGGCCTACGTCATCGGGTGAGCGCGGCCGCGGGCGACGACCCCGAGGGGTCCCGGGGACAGGGTGTGACCCGACGGCCGACAACTCCCCCTTCTGGGTCCGGGCCACGCACCTGCTCATCCTGGCCTAGGTCCTCGGCCGAGCCCCGCGAGCGCCCTCCAGGTGGGGTCCAGGGGACAGTGACCCGAAGCCAGGGATACATCCCTACTCCCCCCAACCCTCCATCCCCGACCCTAGCCACCAGGGGGACGGGCTCTGTGCCGGCTCTGGGTCCAGAGGCTGCTTTGATGTTGTGCCTTGAAGGCAAAGCCTAGCTAGACCTTCATCCTCGCCATTCATGCTTCCTGTCCCTTCTGACTTGCTCCATGATGTCCTTTGGCTGGGGGTGGGAGGATTTTGCTCTAAATGACTCACTCTTTGCTCTTCACTTCCCATTCTGATGATCTGCTGACAGAAGCCAAGGTTTGGGATTTCCACTTGGTTCCTTTTGGGTCTGTGGCTTCCTGTCATTTCCTTTGAGCATCATATGGTAACCCAAGATAATAGAGAGGTCACACTTCCAAAAATCACTTAAAGTTCAGTTCCTTCCTTTTATGGGGTTGTTGGAGTTTTTGGTACAGGCACCTGCCTTAGACTTATCGTTCCCCATGCTGCCCTCTTTGCTTATATGTCCCTCCACCATCAGTCCTCACCTAGTGCTTAATTTTAATTGATGCACCCTTACAATGTAGTAAAACTCGAGAGGAGGTGGAAATTAATTTACCAATTGGGCCCGGTTTCAAGGTTCACCTGGGGTGTTATGGTGTCTACAACTGCTGAGCTGACAGATGTTACCTGCTGCATCGTGGGGGGGGGGTTGTTTGTTTGTTTTTGTTTTTCTTAAAAGGCCTAATACAGTGTTCCCCAAACTGCACATAGAGCTATTTGCGAATCTTTAAAAAATACTGACTGCTGGCTCTCAGACCCAGACTTTCTGATTCAAGTGCTGTAGAGAATGACCAACTCCCCAGGTGATTCTAATGTGCAGCAAATTTTGGGAACCAGTGTCCTAGTGTTTCCCAAACCTACCTGAACCTGAAGGACTCATCTGAGGAATTGTTTAAAGGTAACAGGACACCATCGGCCCCCCCACCCCCGACCCTGGGGTGGGGCTTGGAATCTGTTAACACTGCCTAAGGGAATCCGCATGATCTGGCAGGTTTGGCTTCTACCATCTATCAGCGCAGCAGCAGTAGGTACTGACAGTAGTCAGTAAGAGGGCTTTCCAGGTATGAACTCTGCATCAGAACCACTTGGCCTACCCCCAGGTTTGGACTCTAAGTCACATTAAGTACCATCACAACCAACCCCTTGCCCCCCAGTGATTGTGATGCACCCTTAAATTTTGAGACCCACTGCAAGCTGGTTAACTAAACTCATTGCTGGGTTGGACCTGAAGCATTTGGAATCAGGAGCGGTCATGCAGCTTTTTCCTTTTGGCTTTTGCTGCTCGTAGGAGAATCAGTTTACATCTACTTCAGGATATCTGTAAAGTTCTAGACTGCATACAGTATATCTGCACTTGTACAGTATGGTAGCCAGGAGTCACATGAAACTGTTGAGCATTTGAAACATCCCTACTCCAAAGTGAGATGTGCTATCACTGTACAATGCACGCCAGATTTCGAGGACATAGTACAAAAAACAATTAAATATCATATTAATACATCTTATATTGATAGCATTAACATATATTGGATATGTTGAGTTACATAAAACATATTAAAATTAATTTTACATGTTTCTTTTTAATTTTTAACATGGCTACTAAAAATGTTGAAATTACACGATTCGCGTTGTATTTCTCTTGGGCAGTGCAGCTTTATAGGATTCCTATGGAGTGTTGTCTGCCTCGATCATGAGGATTTTTTACGCAGTAAATGCTTTGCTTTTATACATCTTGCTGTGATCAGATCTGACTCAGGATCTGAATTTAGGACTTTTAAGAAAAATTTTTAAAAACCTCATCTCTTAACTTTCTGATTCAATTCATCTTGGTGAAATTGTGGTCTCCTTCCAGTAGTGACCAAAGGTAATCCTTCCTCAAAAAGAGACTGAACAGGACTTCCCTGGTGGTCCAGTGGTTAAGACTCTGCACTTCCAATGCAGGGGGCACGGGTTCAATCTCTGGTCGGGGAACTAAGATCCTGTGTGCTGCATGGCCAAAAAAAAAGAGAGAGAGAGAGACTGAACACTTCTCAGTTATCTAATTGTATTATCAGTCACAGTTATTTACATAGTGATTGGGATGAACCATGTGTCTCTGACTTAGCAACTCACTGTTCAGTCAGCCCTCCGTATCCTCAGGTTCTTCAGCCACAGATTCAACCAACCATAGATAAAAGATATTAAAAAAAAAAAATTCCAGAAAGTTCCAGAAAGCAAAACTTGAATTTGTCACTTGCCAGCAACTATTTTTACATAGCATTTACATCGTATTTACAACTATTTACATGGCATTTACTTTGTATTAGATATTATAGGTAACCTAGAGATGATTTAAAGTATAGGGGAGGATGTGCATAGGTTACATGCAAACACTATGCCATTTTATATAAGGGTCTTGAGTATCCGTGGTTTTTGGTATCCTCAGGGGTCCTGGAACCAATCCCCTATGGATACCAAGGGATGACTATACTGGTGGTAAAATAATAGTGACCCTGCTCTAAGCTTCTCTGTGTCTGACTAGAATTAAATGGAAGCTTATACTGCAGCTGAATTCCTAGAAACCCTGAAGAAGAGGACTTCTTAGGGAAAAAGCCCATCTCTAAGATGGGTAGTGAACTTGGAGACTACTCAGACAATAAGTAACCAAAGAAGCAAATTTCTGAAGTCTCAGCACCTAGAGCTTATAAGGAGGGGAGAGGGATGCTAGCAGTATTTCTTGACTCTAGAAATTACAACAGTAGTAGTCACTATTGATGTTTAACAACAGCTCTGATGGGGAGGAGTTCTGATTTGTAGTACTGGCCAATTTCCACGGTGTAAATGCTCCCATCATGGCCAATTTCAGTCTGCTGATAATGGCTCACAAACATTGTTCCAAGCATTTGACACGCATTAACTCATGTAACCTCACAACAGTCCTGTGAAGTCTTGTTATCATTCCCGTCGTATAGATGGGAAAAACAGGCACAGAGAGGTTAAGCAGCGTGGCCAAATTTATGCCTAGTGAGTGATGGACTGAGATAGGCTGGCTTCAGTCTGTTCCAGTGTCCTAACCACTATGTACCAATGCCTTCATATTTTTAATTATTCAGGCTGGTAGTGAAGTCCCCACTTCAGAGGAGAGAAACATACATGTGACCTGAATTCTTAGAGAAAAAGTAAGAAACTATTATATATTTACTTAAAAGATGATTCTCCTTTCTAGAGGGCATATATAGCATAGAGGGCAAGAAAGGAGACTTTGAAAGCAAAAAGCCTGAGTTCAAATGCTGACTCTGCCATTCACTAGCTGTGTGACCTTGGGCAAGTGACTTAACCTCTCTGAATTACAGTTTTCTCATCTGTAAAATGGAGAAGAATAATGACACCTGCCTTATAAAGTGGTCAGTATTAAATTAGTTAATACACATAAAGAGCTTAGATCAGTACCTGGCACCTAAACACATTCAAATGGTAACTATCATTATCATAATTTCTATTAGCTCATGGTAATTCTGCGGGTCATAGTGCATTGAAAGTGTTCAAATACCTAGTAATAAAGACAGCATTCACTGAGCATTTTCTTTGTGCTGATCACTGCACTAAGTTACAAAGTTAAGCAGCTTTTGCAAAGTCACTAGTAAACATCATACTTTCAGTCTCTGGCTACCGGAGGCTCCCTAGCATTAACTCAAATTCATGCAATCCTAATGGCAATTTAAGAGACCTGTTTTATTTTGTAGCTGGGTGTTTGTGTGGGAAAAGGGCTACCAGGAAATGGACTCTGTGGTCAGCTCCATTACTGCCAAAGCCAAGGGTGTGACCACGACCAACACTTCTAAACTTGGATTCCGGATCTGGGATGTGGCCGATTATGTAATTCCAGCTCAGGTAAGCCTTCCACTGTGTCTCTGTCTAAAGCTCAAGCCTCTAGTTAGCTGCTTTCCCTTCACCTTTGCACTCTTGATTAGTGATCGGCATGCCCAGAGTTCTAACATCACCAATGCCCAGACTGGTAGTTTTAGTCCAAGAAAGCAGTGCAGACAGACCTCTTTTTGGCTTAGGGTCTAACAGGTAATATTCAATCAGCTGCGTTTCTTCAGCCCTAAAACATGACTGGCTTAAACAGAGGAAGCTTTCCATATGGACATCTGAGTCTGTCACCGGACTTGAAAAGTAGAAAAGCATATGTTTTAAATCCTGGGAAAAACGCAGGTGGAACTATCACCTTTCCACATTTTGTGGTTTGCTATACTGTTGTAAACCCACAAGGTAAATCTTTTCAGACAGCGTAAAAAGTTTAACAGCCCTTAGAGACCCAAAGCCAAAGAAGAAGGAAACAGCCATACCCACCCATGTAGGATTCCATCAGGAACATAGGGAAGGGAAGAAACTGTTTGATGCAGCATCCTAGTCTCCCGTCTGTTAATGCACAAAGCTCCAAGTTAAATATTGACTCTCTTTAACCATGATAATGGCTCTGATCCACAGTCAAACCCCACATATCCCTCCAGATGGCCCACGTGCTAGGGTGACGGGGGTGGCCACATGCAGATAAGCTGCCAACTCTTGGCTCAGAGCAAGGACTTCAGAAACTCTCTCTTCAAGTGTGTTCATTTTCCCTCTGCCTTCTCAAGAGAAGTTTCTTGTGGGGTGCCCAGAGAGAAATCAGAGCTAATAAGCCATAAAGGTCAAATGGAACAGGGGATTCATAGTTTGCTGGAGGAAGCTGGTGCTGTTGGCATGCACCTGTCTCTACAGAGAGACCTCTGCTTCCTACGAAGCCACAGCCTCATCCTGGCAGGCTCGAAATATCACACTCCATCTGTTTACTGGACCCACAGAAGGGTACGGCCCCCTGCTCCTGCCCCTCAGTGGAAAGGAACACACAGCAACTCTGCCTTCCATCTCGGATTGGAGCTGGGGGCCGTGTGAGTCCCACAGGGCTCTTCATGAGCTTTCACGATATCCTTCTGCTCCTCCAAAGATGGAACACAAACATCTATTTGCACCGCATCTACTCGGCTCATCTCCAGACTGAAATTTCCCTAAACTTAAAATAGATAAGAAATAGGAAACAAAAAGTAAACCACACTGACTTGTTCAGGTCTAACTCAGGAGAGACGCAGGAACAGCCTTCTGTAAACACCAAGGAAGCAGTGTGTCTACATATGGAAAACGGGAGCCTGCTAGGGCGCCTGACCCAGGCCTCCTGCCACATTCTCACGCCCCCTCCTGCGGCCATTTCCTCATTTCCCAACATGCTTTGTTCCAGGTCTGTCTTTGAAAGATGCCAACTATTCCCAGAGCGTCTACCACCTTGTCAGACCTGGGAGTGGAGATGTCTACAGACCCTTTGGTCCCTGAGTTTCCCTGATGGCTCCCAGCACTGACTGCTCTTCTCAGGAGTATGAAATGCTCAGAGCATTTCATTTTAGAGCACCAGCGCCCAATAAGGAGGAGGTCCAACTAGAATTTGCAGGGTCTTTGTCTTTTTTTCCTTATACTGGGAGGCCACTGTTAGCAATTCTTCAGTCTCATCCCCAAGTGAATTGCTCTCCAGGAACTTTAAATCAACCATTTGGCACCTTCATACTTAGGAGGAGAAAACAGAACCTTCTCAAAAGGAGAAGTGTCAGGCTTCCCTGGTAGTGCAGTGGTTAAGAAGCCGTCTGCCAATGCAGGGGACAATGCACCAGGGTTCGAGCCCTGGTCCGGGAAGATCCCACATGCCGCAGAGCAACTAAGCCCGTGCGCCACAACTACTGAGCCTGCGCTCTAGAGCCCACAAGCCACAACTACTGAAGCCCGCGTGCCTAGAGCCCGTGCTCCGCAACAAGAGAAGCCACTGCAATGAGAAGCCCGTGCACCACAACCAAGAGTAGCCCCTGCTCGCAGCAACTAGAGAAAGCCCACGCAGAAGACCCAACACAGCCAAAAATAAAATAAAGAAAGAAAAAAAAGGAGAAGTGTCAATGGCGAGCCCTGATTGGGTCTTCTGTATAGAATGTTTTATGTATTTTAGTTCCTGTTAGGAAAGAGAACCAGCCAAACTTGAGACCTTTGAGGTCTTGTGTTTTTGCGCCTGTGAGGTAATCCGATTGGGAGAGGATATACTGAGCACTTATTGACTTTTTTCCCTCAACAAGTCAAGCTTTATTAAGGAACCATTTCAGGGTATAGACATGTTTTTTTTTAACTGAGGTGAAATTCATGTATCACAATATTAACCAGTTCAGAATGAAAAATTCAGTGGCATTTAGCGCATTCACGATGTTGTGTACCATCACGTCAGTCTAGTTCCAGAACATTTTCATCAGTCTAAAAGGAAAGCCCCCACTCATTAAGCTATCATCCCCTTTTCCACCTTCTCCCTCACCCGCTCACAACCACTACTTTCTGTTCCTGGATTTGCCTATTCTGTACATTTCATATCAATGGGATCATACACTACGTGGACTTTTGTGTCTGGCTTCTTGGACTCAGCATCGTGTTTTTGAGGTTCATCCACATTGTAGCCAGGTCTGTGCTTCATTCCTTTTTATGGCTGAGTCATATTCCCTTACAGGTATGGACCACAATTTGTTTATCCATTCATCCGTTGATAGACACTGAGTTGTTTCCACCTTTAGGCTATTGTGAATGATGCTGCTGTGAACATGTGTGCAAGTATTGGAGGCCCTGTTTTCAGTTAGGTTATAACTCTCATCGGTGAGAATGGGAGACCCTAAGATCAGTGTTTTTAACTGTTTTCTGCATGGCACAGGGGGGAAGTGAAGGCACTGTCCTAGTAAAGGGCCTTCCCTGTGGCTCTGCCTGGCTCCTCGGCAGGTAGTATGCAGCACTCTCTCCCCTCTGCCTGCTTTACAGGAGGAAAACTCCCTCTTCATCATGACCAACATGATCGTCACCATGAACCAGACCCAGGGCCTCTGTCCTGAGGTAGGCAGCTTCTTGGGGAAGAGCCTCGGGTCTCATACCCACCTCTCTGTGCCTGTCCCACTGTGGGTGGGACCAGGCCATGTGAAACCTGTTTCACTGGTTCTTCTTTTTCCAGACTCCAGATAAGACCACCGTGTGTGAATCCGATGCCAACTGTACTGCTGGCTCTGCAAGCACCCACAGCAGTGGTACAAACCTGTGGCTGTGACTCCACAGTAGACGCTTAGCCTGGGGAGGGTAGCCCCCGACCAAACTGCCTCCCCCGTGGGCCCCCTCTCAGAGGGAAATCTCCAGGATGGAGAAATCCCCCACACGAGCCTGGGAGAGCCTGGTGTCCATACTGGGGTCCTGGGGCCCTCTCGACATTCATCTCTGTCATCTGCACCCCAGAAGCCATCCCAGATCTTGCCCTGTCCTGTGGCTCTGCATCACCCCAGCCCTGCAGTTGGCAAGGCAGTGATGTGGCTATTAGGACTTAAGACAACTCTTTTCCTGCAATTTGAATTTCTGGATGCTGCCTAAATCCCAGAATTAGACTAGCTCAAGATTGATTGCATAGGATACATGGTGGAGTTTCTGCTCTGCCTCACAAAGTAGAAAGTAGGAGACCCCCATAGACCTGGGTGCCCCTCGCCCCTGTAGGAGTTGCGACAGGAAGGTGCGTGCCGTTCAATGAGACCATGAACACATGCGAGGTGGCAGCCTGGTGCCCGGTGGAGGAGGACGCACAAGTGCCAAAGTGAGTCCTGTCAAAGGGACAGAAGTGTCCTAGATGCTGGGTCTCGGGCCTGAGACAGGTGGCAGGGGAGTTGTGGCTTTGTGCTCTTGGTGTCAGCCTGTGGAGTGAGGCTTCCCTGGGCTGGTGGTTCTCAACCACAAGGCAGCAGCCCTCAGTAGCTAGTGGGCCACGGTGTTTGTCACTCATGATAAGAGTGCAGATGACTTAATGCTACGTTAGGCCTCTGTCAGTTGCAAGTAACTGACAGGAAACAGTTCTCAGGGCCTTAAACGGGTGTGTATACACACACACACACACACACACATGCACAGTGGGGGCGGTTTGTTCAAGTAACCACAGAGATCCCAGCATGGCTAGACCTGGGGCTCGAAGGACAGCATCCGAGTTGCCACCTCTTGGCTCTGCTTCCCTCCGTGGTGGCTTCATTTGCAGGACCCATGGCATAGTCCCTAGTCTCCCTGCCCAGCTGTCTGTAAAGATTCTAGACCTGTCCATCTTCACAGCTTCAGCCACATCTGTCAACCCATCCAACCCATCACTGTGGCTGGGGGATGGATTTTGCTTATGGCTCAGGCCTGGGTCATGTGCCTTCCTAGCTAGGCAGGGAGTCAGACCCACCCAAATGACACAGGTTGAGAGTGGGGGAGGTGTGGCTTTTAAAGGAAGTGTGGGGTTCTGTTACCAGAAAAAAGTTACAGATGCTGGGCAGGAAAATTATTAATGTCCGTTAAAAGTGTGTTTTATAAACTAGAACAGGTTCAAGGTTGCCTAGAATAACATTCTTCCGAACTGCGATCAGCTGTGCTGTGAGTGGGTGGAGTCAGAGGTAACGCTCTGGGAACTGCAGGCAACCTGGGGCCTTTCCCACTCAGCGTTCAGACTGAGGCCTAGATAAGCCCAGGGGAGCAGGTAACCATGTGAACCTCACGCTGGGTGTGTCACAACACAAGAGAATGGTGAGGACTGCGGATTGCTGAGGGCAACAGCTCCGGCAACGGAGGGAAATACTAGAAGACGAGGAATCCTAGCATTCTGGAGCTGGAAAGGATTTTATGGAGCCGGTGGCCATGTGTGGCTACTGAGCACTTGAAATGCAGCTGGGTCCAAAATGAGCTCTCGGTAAAATACACTCCAGGTTCTGAAGGCTTATTATTAAAAAAAAAAAAAAAAAAGAATATGTAGTATCTCATTAATAACATTCTATGTTATTTACATGTTGGAGTAACATTACAGATATACTGGCTTATTACAGAAAAGTTCATTTCACTCGTTTCTTTTTACTTTATTTTTGGCCGCGAAGCATGTGGATCTTAGTTCCCTGACCAAGGATGGAACCAGCGCCCCCTGCAGTGGAAGTGCAGAGTCCTAACCACAGGACCGCCAGGGAATTCCCTCTTTTTACTTTTAATGTAGCTACTAGGAAATTTTAAATTGGTGTGGTTTGTGCCTCACAGTATATTTTCACCGGACAGTGCTGTTATGGATCTTTTTTTTTTAGTGGAGTATAATTGCTTTACAATGTTGTGTTAGTTTCTCCTGTACAATGAAGTGAATCAGCTATATGTATGCCTATATCAGCGCTGTTATAGATCTAATCCAGTGTAGGATGATTTTTAAGTGTACACTGATACACGAAATTTCAGCACTGAGTCACACGGAGAGAAAGGTCTTCCCATCTCCGCTCTTATTCTGATATCTAGCTGATATCAAGGAAGAGATTCTGGTCTGGAGTGTCTTCAATACCTCTCTGTCCCTCGCTGATTTCCATTTCTCACCGAGAACAAGCCCCAGGCTCAGCACCTTGGGCTGACAAAAATATGTCTGCTCGCAATGACACTGTTCTTAATTATATTTATTTGAACGATGACCTCTAACTTGTGGCAAACGATATATATATATATATATTTATTTATTTATTTATTTATTTTTTTTTTTGCTGTACGCGGGCCTCTCACTGTTGTGGCCTCTCATGTTGCGGAGCACAGGCTCCGGACGCGCAGGCTCAGCGGCCATGGCTCACGGGCCCAGCCGCTCTGCGGCATGTGGGATCTTCCCGGACTGGGGCACAGTCCTGTGCATTGGTAGGCGGACTCTTAACCACTGCGCCACCAGGGAAGCCCAAATGATATTGTTTATGGTCATGATGGAAAGTTTTACTTCAAAATGAATGTCAGTAAAAAAAAAAAAAGTGAGTTGATCCTAAAGGTGGAAACAACCCAAATGTCCATCAACAGATTGTGGTGAACACGTAAAATGGAATGTTATTGAGCCATAAAAAGGAATGAATAAAAAGCTCTGACACAGGCTACCACAGGGATGAACCTCGAAAACATGCTAAGTGCAAGAAGCCAGACACAATAAAGTCACATACTGTCTGATCCCACTCATATGAAATGTCCAGTATAGACAAATCCATAGAGAAAGAAAGAAAGTAGATTGGTGTTTCCCGAAGGCTGAGGGGAGGGGAGAATGGATAGTAGCTGCTTGATGGGCAAGCAGTTTCCTTTCAGGGTGATGAAGATGTTCTTGAACTAGATAGAGGTGATGGTTGTATAACACTGGAATGTGCTTCATGCCACTGAATTGTATACTTTAAAATGGTTAATTTTATGTTCTCTGAATTTCACCTCAATTTTTTTTAAAGGAGGGTTAAAGACAAGTATTGCACATGAGGCACACAGTGGTATAGGGAGTGACAGAAGTTTGAGAAACCTTGATATAGTCCATCCCCTTGATACAGGGACGAGGGAATTCAAAGCCCCAAAAGAAGTGCCTTGGTCAAGGTCTTTGTCAGCGGTAGCGACAGGCTCAGCTCCCCACATTGTGTCGCCTCATCACTGGCCTTGCTCCTTTCTCAGGGTGGGGAAGACTGCTGAGGTTTTTTATAGCTTCAAAGATTCCACCTGGGGGGCTTCCCTGGTGGTCCAGTGGTTAAGACTCCCCACTTCCACTGCAGGGGGCATGGGTTTGGTCCCTGGTGGGGGAACTAAGATCCTGCATGCCATGTGGTGCAGCCAAACAAACAAACAAAAAGCTTCCACCTGGGTCAGGGGCCCCCCCCCACTGAGGAGTCAGTCTACAGTGCCAGATCCTCCTGTAGAAACCCTCCAAAGCAGTGGGGTCCCCTTGGGGAATTCAACTCCTACTGTCAGCAGGAGCTGACGTGGCACTTCCAAGAGGCGGTGCAGCAGCAGACATGCACTTTTTGTGTCCAGCCTGTAGGTGAATTCACCTTTGCTTTTGCTTCTTAAACCAGATCTGTTGAGCATTCCCAAGAATACCTGAGGGAGGTAAGCCCTGAAACCCAGCACCTGCCGGATGAGTGATTTCTAGTGGGGCCACGAGGCACCACCCCTCCCGCCCTTCGTTAGCTATTCCTCAGGTTCTTAAATTCCCGCTGCCTTGAGGAAGAGGCCCTGCCCTTCCATGACGGGAAGAAATCAGAAGCCTTGGTTTGCAGTCTCCTCTCTTGACCTAGTGTATATGCAGAGGAAAGTAGAAAAGACGAGATATGTTTTACTTTTTCCTTGGCAAAGTGACATTGTAAGACACATGGGTATGCGACTTAAAAATATTACCTAGGGGACTTCCCTGGTGGCGCAGTGGTTGAGAGTCCGCCTGCCGATGCAGGGGACACGGGTTCGTGCCCCGGTCCGGGAAGATCCCACATGCCGCGGAGCGGCTGGGCCCGTGAGCCATGGCCGCTGAGCCTGCGCGTCCGGAGCCTGTGCTCCGCAACGGGAAAGGCCACAGCAGTGAGAGGCCCGTGTACCGCAAAAAAAAATATTACCTAGGTATATTAGGAGTGTACATATGTTTGTACTTTTGTTAACAATATGTTGTAATTTTTTTCAGGCCTGCTTTTTTAAAGGCTGCAGAAAACTTCACTCTTTTGATTAAGAACAACATCTGGTATCCCAAATTTAATTTCAGCAAGTAAGTGGTGGCCAGCTGTGTAAATTCACCAGTGTCTTGGAGAAACTTCTGGCTCTTCTTTGAGGTTTTCCTTGCTCGTATTTTCTGCTTCCTCCCAACTTTAGGAGGAATATCCTTCCCAACATCACCACTACCTACCTCAAAACGTGCATTTATGACGCTAAAACAGATCCCTTCTGCCCCATATTCCGACTTGGTAAAATAGTGGAGAACGCAGGGCACAGCTTCCAGGACATGGCTGTCGAGGTAGGTGTAGGTCCTGGCTTTTCTAACACAGTCCTTGACACATCTTCTTCTAGAATGGGCTCTGAGGAAAGCTTGCTCTGTCTGTTCGCAACCCACAGGGAGGCATCATGGGCATCCAGATCAAATGGGACTGCAACCTGGACAGAGCCGCCTCCCTCTGCTTGCCCAGGTATTCCTTCCGCCGCCTGGACACCCGGGACGTGGACCACAACGTGTCCCCAGGCTACAATTTCAGGTGGGTGTGAGCTTGGGCCCCATTCCTCATGTGCTGGGGGTGATGGTAGTTGCATCACTCCCCAGTGGGGGCCTCCACGCCCACCCAAGACCAGCACTCAGGTGGCACCCCAAGGGCAGGTGGGGAGGCATGTGCCAGGGAGAGTGGTCCAAGCAGGGCCGTGCCCCTGTGGCATCCCGACCTGTGAGCACCCTTCTCGCCTTTTCTTGCCTCCAGAACGACTGTCTGCTTTAGCTTTCCTGGGCCGGCCAGCCTCAGCCAGGACCCTGCTGGGGTATTTTTCTTTTTTTTCTTTTGGCTGTGCACTTGTGGGATCTTAGTTCCCTGACCAGGGATTGAACCCAGGCCTCCTGCAGCGGAAGCATGGAGTCCTAACCACTGGACCGCCAGGGAAGTCCCTCTGCTTGCTAATTTTGAGGAGTGGATGAGCCTGTGGTCCTCCAGTCCAAAGGCCTCTGGGGCCTGATCCATGAATTGGTTTCTCGGTTGATCTGGCCCCCAGAATCTCCCAAGGTGCAGGGAATATACGTTTTAGCCTCAGGAAAGGCCTTTGCTGGTATTTCCCTGCTAGAAGTGCTGTGTATTTGTTTCCTGGGGCTGCCGTAACAAATGACCACAAAGTGGGTGGCTTGAAACAGCAGGAGTCTGTTCTCTCACAGTTCTGGAGGCTGGAAGCCCAGAATCAGTGTGTCATCAGGCCAGGCTCCTTCCTTGCCTCTTCCAGCTTCTGGTGGCTCCTGACAATCCTTGGTGGTCCTTGGTTCATAGGTACATTACTCAGTCTCTGCCTCTGTCGTCACATGGCCTTCTCCCATCTGTGCCTGTGTCTCTGTGTCCTTTGTCTCTCTTCTTTTACGGACACCAGTCATATTGGATTTGAGGTCCACCCTAATCCAGTATGACTGCATCTTAACTAATTACATCTGCAAAGACCCTATTTCCAAGTAGGGTCAGTGGTGCTCTTTTGCTGCTCTTGTCTCCCTCTAGTGGTGATGTGTGGAATCAAATGCACAGAGCATCTGCTGTCCTCTTGAACCATCTGGCTCACTCACTGATAGAAGGGCAGATCCTTGCATTTTTCCCTAGTAAGGGAGTCAGATTTGCATTGCTCTATCTCTACGGTTACACAGTTTCTTGTAGAAACCACTGTGGAAAACCTCAAGCTTGGGTTGGAACCCCAGAACAGAGAAGCTGATGGGACCCTCACAAGGACACCCATCCCCCTGACCTCCACCAGCATCAGGCCCCACCTGAGTTCCCCAGGCCTGGACCATGGCATGGAAGTTGTGGGCCAGACAGATCTCAGGCCACAGCTTAGGCTCATGGTGGATCCCCTGTAATAACACGGGCAGCAAATGGTATCGGTCTCAGTGGTTCTCCCCCCAGCATGCCCCTTCGTGTTCTATTTTTGCATGTGGGATCTTAGTTCCCCGACCAGGGGTTGAACCTGTGCCCCCTGCAGTGGAAGCACAGAGTCCTAACCACTGGACTGCCAGGGAATTCCCCCTCCTGGTGGTCCTTTATAAATGGTTTTATTGAGATATAGTTCACATACTACACAGTTCACCCATTTAAAGTGTAGAATTCAGTTGTTTTTAGTATATTCACAGAGTTGTGCAACTGTTACCACAGTCAATTTCAGAACATTTTCATCACCTCAGAAAGAAACCCCAGACCCTTTAGCTGCATCCCTCTATCCCTTCAGCTACGTCAACCCCTGACAACCACTAATCTACCTAATTTGCCGATTCTTGACTTTCATAGGAATGGACTCATACAATATGTGGCCTTCTGTGACTGGCTTCTTTCACCTAGCATCATGGTTTTTTTCCAAGTTCATCCATGTTGTGGCATTTATCAGTACTTCTCTTTATGGCTAAATAATATTCCATGGTGTGGATATAACACATTTTGTTTATCCACTCATCCAATTGATGGATCATCAATACAATGTCCAGTGCTGAGATGCTCAGTCCCCCCACCCACAAAGCAGACTTGGCAATCACTGCTGGCTGGCCACCTTCTGTTAGTGGCCAGGGTCTCCTTGAGAGAGACGGGGCTCAGCTGTATCACGAAGGACTTTCAGAGGAGGAAGTTCCGTTTTAAGTCGTAGGAAGTGAGGGTGATGACAGAGGAGGGATCTCTTCGTGCGCCCTTGTGCCAGCATTCCAGACCCTCTGTCCTGCGGGCCCCAGCGCCCTAGTCCTCAACAGGCCAGCTCTCCTTCTGCGTGGCTCACATGAGCCCGGAGAAGCCCCAAGGTGCTCGAGTGTGGTTCGTTCGGCAGGCAGAGCGAGCCCTAAGCCAGTGCCAACTCCGCCAGGGCCTCGGGAGTTCACTCTGACGTCCCTCAGCAGGACCCAGAGGCTGTCTCAGGCCTCCCTGTGCCTTTTCCCTCTAACCCGGCCTCCTTTACCAGGTTTGCCAAGTACTACAACGACCTGACCGGCACCGAGCACCGCACGCTCATCAAAGCCTACGGCATCCGATTCGACATCATCGTGTTTGGAAAGGTAGCCTGGCCGCCGGCTCCCCTCGTTCAGAGCCCACTGGTCCTCTTCTGGGCTGGCCAGGGGCAAGGGGCCCTCTCCCCACCCCTATCACAACTTCTTTTTCTCTCATCATCTGCAGGCTGGGAAATTTGACATCATCCCCACCATGATCAACATTGGCTCTGGCTTGGCACTCTTAGGGGTGGTGAGTGGCTCACTTAGACCTCTCTGGCCACCCGCCTGGGGCTGTGACCCGCCCCAGCACTGCAAGTTGAGACCCTCTGCTGGCATCCTGGTTCTTCCCCTTGACCCCAGACTTGTTTCTAGGCTCGACCCTCCAGGCTTATTTGCCTTTCCCATCCCCGCCTGCTTCCTCCTGCCCTTCTCCAAGACGGCGCCCCTCGGGCCCTAACCTTTTCCCCCCCGGAGAGATGGAGGAGCCCTTTATTTCCTTGGAAGATCCCAGGCTTTGTGGGAAGGGGCACACACAGAATAATAGGGCCACAGCATCCTGCCTCATTCTTTCTTGCCCTGTGCTGCATTCAGGCGACAGTGCTGTGTGATGTCATAGTCCTCTACTGCATGAAGAAAAAATACTACTATCGGGAGAAGAAATACAAATATGTGGAAGACTACGAGCGGGTAGGTCGCCTCCTGAGCTCCCAGCCGGCAGGAAGGCCCAAACGGCCTACCTCACCTGCCTCTTGTCCCAGCGGTGAGAACCCCTAGGTCACCTAGGTGTGTTTTGTCCACTCACGCAGTCACATGCGACTCTTGTCATCTGCTCCATTTCTAGACCACCTATACTAGCCTTTACTTCATACTTTTCTTCAAATGGACTCACTCTTTAAAATCTAGCCTTCGTTTTAATCAGTGATGTCTCAGGTTAGTTATGATAATGGATATCATGACAAAACCTCTGTCCACACTCTACTTAAATTCGCCTTGAAGAGAAAGAGGGGTTGGGTACCCCTAGGACCTACCTGAATACGCTCAGTTGTGAAGGGCTGTCCAGACGTCCTCAGGGAAAGTGCCCGATTCCCACCTGCCCCAAATGGTCCAGGCTTGCCTATGGGCAGCACAGGGCGGTGCACATGTATCCATAAGCATATCAACTGACGATAAGCACATTGTTCTTTGCAGGGTCTTGGCAGTGAGACGGACCAGTGATGCCCACCCCACACCTGGACTCTCCTTGGCCCTCAGCAGAGCACAGCAAGGAGGGAGAAAAGGCTGCCTGCCATGTCACCCCAGAGGAAGTTCCAGATTCTGAGTCAGTCTCCACAAGTACTGCAGGGTTGCCCAGCTGCTCCCATGTCTTGTGTGTAGGGTTTGCGTAGTAAACCACTATGCACATTGGTCACCTCCTGTCTGCGGCTGGGTCACCTCCTGTCTGTGGCTGGGTCACCTCTGCCGTTCCTTCTCTTTGGGGTCACTGGGGCAAGCTCTGGCCCGAGGGCAGTGAAGTGGCTGTGGCTACAGGGCCGAGGCCTTCTCCAGGGCCGGGTCTCCTCAGAAGCTCCTATCTCCAGCCCCCTTCAAGACAGGCCCAGTCCTCTGAGGCCCCGCAGCTCCACTCAAGCACTGTATAAGGAAGGCGGGACACCTGGCTGTGCTTGTAGCTCTTTGGCACACCCGGGCTGCTGTTCCTCTCCCCCCACCAGAGGCTTCAATCACGAGGTCATGAGGCGGATCTAGTGTTTTTCCTTTGAGAAGAGCTACATTGAGATGATTGAGGACCAAACATTAAAACAAATCATTTTCTTAATCTCTGTGTGGTTTCACAGCGTGAGCTAGAACTTTCCTTCCTTCCCCTTTACTTGGACCAGTAAATCCATTTGTTATCCCGGCTCACTGTGCCCCTGAAACAGTCTATTGCTAGAGCTTAGGTTTTTTTTTTTTTCGACTTTAACCTTCTCTTAAAGCCTAAGTGTGATCTTCGCTAGCTTGTGTTCCTATAGAGTTTTCGAGATTTTTTTTCTGTGGTGTACTGTTTGTCTTACCGGTGCTTACATTTTACATAAAAGTGTGGGTCTACACTACAGGGAACGGTTTTAGGTGACATGAAGGTGGCTTATCCTCCCTCTTCCTCATTTGCCTTCCAGAAACCTCCAACCAAAAGCAGCACCCCCTACACCTACCTTGCCACCGATTGGAAATGTTAATGAAGCTATTTCTAGCTTGCCTTCACACCGACTTTATTCTGCATCAGGTGTTCAGGATCTCCCTAAAGAAAGCAGCCTGCCCCTCCTCCTTGTTATGAATTCATTTCCAACTGCTGAGGGAACGTTTATTTTAGAAGTGCTCTGCTTCTGCAGGATAAACGGCCAACCTGGGCTTTTCTTGCTCTGGGGAAAAAAGAAAAACGTTTACAGACCCCTTTGAAGTTCTGGTTCAAGCTTATCTTTCTGAAAAATGCCTGCTTGAACACACCAGTCACATGGAGCTGGAATTTTTAGGAAAAGGCTTATTATCTTGCAGGCTAAGGAGTGATGGTTACTGGAGTGAGGAAGACTTCTTGCAGCCTCCCTTTTCTAAAATGGAATGCTACAGCCAGATGGGATGAGGGTTGGGGGTGGCATTGTCCTTTAGCTCACCAGAATCATCTTGCTTTCTGCTACAGCCCCACTTGTTGGCACTCCTTGGCGCTGCCTCTTAAGTGGGGTTCCTTCAGCCTTGCATCCAGGGATGACCTTCTAGGAGATTCTGAAACCCCTGAAACTGTGCAAAGTGATGCACCTGTGTGCATTTCTGCTCGCTTTCATCAGATTCTCAGTGGGGTCTTTGAATAGGAACACCTGCTCTTGTCTCTGGAAGGCCCGTATTTCAATGTTGTATTTCTGCAGGAATGGAACAGGAATCTTTCAGATTTCATCTACTGTCGCTTGATAAAACAGAAAACTGAAGTTCAAAGCTAGTAAAGCAATCCTGTGGGCTAGGTTCACATTTAGAATACAGGGAGCCCTCAGCCCGCAGTCTGAAGAAAGCAACTGTTCTAAAATAGTCTCCAGAGGCCGTGAAAACCGGCAACCATCAAGGCTCTGCAGAACACTGAATCTGCTGACAAATTCAGCCTACTTTCTGAGCCTCGGTTTACAGATGATGATCCATAAAATGGGGTTAATACCTACCTCACGGGTGAAGTGTCACGTTGCATGCCTACCCACGGGACGTATTCAGTGTGTGATTAAAACTGCTCCTGTAGCTGCTCGCCTGTCTGGTCTCCATCAGAAGAACCTATCTGCCAGTGACCTGCCTGGCAGAGCAGTGCTTTGCAAGCTTCAGCATACAGGTGAGTCACCTGGGGATCTTGTGTAAAGGGGGCCTGGGAATATGAATTTCTGACACTGCTGATCTGGGGACCACACTCTGAGTAGCGAGGTACTAGGACATGCTTAAATTAGGAATTTGCTGAGTACATCAGCCCTGATAGGCATTTGATCTTGCTGTCAGCTTAAGGAAGGAAAACAGACATAAGGACAGATAACCTCGAGAGCACTGACTTAATTAAACGACCAACAAACACATCCCAAAGAGGCCCAGGCTTTGCACCATTTTGTTGTCTGTTTATTTCAAGTTTACAGAGAAGCTTAAACATTTGTGGAAAAACACCAAAGGCTTATTTTTCTCTTAAGTTCATGTACTTTTTAGTGATAAATACACAGTATTTAACTTTGTACACCTGATAAAAGGAAAATGCATAGTAGAAAGGATCAGGAATAAAACAGAAGCATCGGGCATGAAATCAATCACAGGATAGAAAAGTCAGCAGTCCCACGAAACTCGGCCCGTAAAGCTGGAGAGAAGATGGGAATCAACGACCTTGAAACCTTCCCTAGCACCTTGGAAGTGAGTGGAGGTCTTGGTTCTTTCCCCTGGCAACGTGAAGCTCCCCTTTGGAAGATGGGTGAGAGCGACTGGTGGAGCCTGTGTCTAAATGCACAGCTTTCCCCTCCTTGTCCTGAAAGGCTTTGAGGAGGGGAGCCCTAACTCATGGAAAAGCCCAGACCAGAGGGGAGATGGCCTCTCGGGCCCCAAGTGCCAACAAGGGGCTAGATAAGGCCACTGGCCAGGCTGCGGAATAGATGGGGAAGTGGAACGGGACAGAAGGAAGATGGGTAGAGAACATGTGCTGCTTCAAAGCCACAGGTGCAGGCCACCGCTTGCTTACACCAAACTGGTCCCACAGGTGAGCCAGTAAAGGAAGAGACGGATAGGCATCCTTTCTGCTCACCTGGAAAAGCTTCTGCCCTTTCCTGACAGAGCCAGCTTTTGAAAAAAATCAACGTTTGTGCTTTAGGAGTGGAGACAAACCCCAAGAGTTTGCGCTCCAAGTAGCTCTAATGCTTTATGTTACAGCCCTCTCTGCTAATACTTTTCTCAGTGGGGCGGTTCCTTTCCACAGCTTTCTTTGGTGTTTCTTAGTGTAAAAAAAAAAAAAAAAAAAGTAGTAAGGAACGTGGGCCTCCCCCACCGCCCCCGCCTACATAGCTCAGTGCTGCCTGATCGCTGGCATTCCACATGTGAACCCTCAGACGGAGAGTTTCGTGGTGGGAGAAATGGCTTCGCCTGATGCAGTTGTGTAAACACAGAAGGAGTTCTGCAGAGGCTCTGCATGCTGCCCGCCCTCCCTGGGCAAGCCACTCGGCCAGGCCAAACAGACAGGCTAGGACTAAGACTAAGGACCGGTTGACCTGAACCACTGCAAGGTGCTCACTGCAAACTAACCAGACCCTGTTTGCTCCCAGGAAGGCTGGAGCTTGTAAATTTAAACAAGCACAGGAGGTGAGAGGAAGTACCAGATTACAGAAAGCAAGCAAGCAGGCCAGAGGACCCTCCAGCAGATGGGTGTCCTTTGCTCTTGGAAACCAGCATTCTCTAACTCGGTACTGCTTTTAAGGTAGCAAGAAAAGTCTGGCTAAACGACAGTCAAGAGCTTATGAAGACTGATGGGCGCCAAGAACACCGAGGCTCTGTGAACGCGCTGGACAGGGGGAACAAGTCCTGCTTCTCTGTCTCTCTGCAAAAAGTCCTCGTACCAGCACTGATCAGCCAGAAACTACAGGAAAGCACGTCCTTCTGAGCCCAGTTACTGACACTGTTTCCCCCAAGTCAGATTCCACAGAGCACTGGGAATTCCAAAGAAGGAAGGAAGACAAAGTCCTTCCAATCTTCCTCCCTCTTGAACTTCACACTCACCTATGTGTGGCTCTGGAAGAAGTCCACTTGAACTGCGACCAAACTTCCCAAGGTTAGTTGGAAGTCAAAAAGGTAAACTTCTTCTTTCTGGACTTCTGGCTACAAAAAGGAACTCCCTGTACCAAGCCCTGGTTCCCTTGGACCTGAGGACTGCTCTAGGTTTCAATCATCTTCTCTTAAAGGGTGCCCTAAACTTACTGTATAGATCCAAATAGAGCTTTGCCAGTAAGGATGATCATTTGTGTCTCAGCTGAATGAAAGTATTTCTTAACTGGCCCTCCAGAAACTGGATAAGTGTTTCATTGACTACAACAATCAGCTAGTATTTAAGAAGAAAACAGAACCTTAGCAGGCTCTAGAATACACAGGTTATAAACAAGGTGAGCTGCTAATATACAGGCATAGATTTCATTGGCTCTAACTCCGATCACATCCCTGAAGCCATGGGAGAGATCCTGGAAGCTCGAAATGATTTCTGAACTGCTCTAGAGTTCAGACTGCTTAGAAAATTGAAAGTATTTTTTCTTGTTGTTTACTCTTAAGCCATGTAATGTACATGGAAGTGTAGGATTTCACCCTGAAGTTTTTGTAATTTAACAAGAGATTTACCAGAGCTCCCTCAACTACTGAAGAAAAGTTTCAGCTTTGAGCGGCTGTCATAAAGAAACACACTCGTTCAGTGCTTTAGGGGAGGTGTCCCACCACAACCACTGAATGCCCCTCTGAGGCTGGAAAATCCTCACTGTGAAGCTGTTAAGTGTCAAGCCCTTTCCGTTTTCCTGACTACAGCTCTACTTATAAAAAATTTTTTTAAGTCCTTCTTAAGAATAAGTTGCATCGAAGCTCCCTGTGTGAAGCTCCCTGTGTGAAGCTTCCGGTGTGAAGCTATTGAGGGCCAGCCCTGTCCTGACTCCTTGAGTCCACAGTTCTAGAAGGTGCCACGGTTCGGGGCTTGGGGTTTTGCGCAAAGT